CCCTGAGAGGGTCCGGTTAAAAAAAAAATAAAATAATCTGCAGGGCCAGTCCCTGCCCTGTGGCCTGACCCTCTGCTCTTCTCCTCAGGATGGCTCCCTGCTGGCCTCGCCGTTCCTGAAAGGCTTCCTGGCAGGCTACCTGGTGGCCAAACTTCGCTTCTCGGCCGTCCTGGGATTCGTGGCCGGGACCTGCACAGGGATCTACGCTGCTCAGAACTACGCTGTTCCCAACGTGGAAAAGATGGTCCGGGACTATGTCAGTTCGCTGAAAAAAGGTCGGGACTAGCGAGGAGCCCTTTGGCAGCCGTGACTGTAGGAACGGTACTCCTTAGTAAGCAGGTGCAGAAGGTTCCTGGGGCTTCCAGAGGCACAGCACGCACACTGTTCTTTTCCACCTGCAAAGGGCTTTTACACCACGTCATTGCGAGACGGCGGGTCTGGTTATGGGGTGTTTCTTAGAGCATCGTGGCAGCAGTCATCACTCCGCTAACCTGCAGTAGCTTGGGAGCACCGGTGGCCGACGGTTTGCCAGCTGCTTTTTCCCCTCACCTCTCTCCCTGCGAACTGAAGGCTGCCTGTGCGGTGTCAACACGCTTACCACCCGTACGCCCTTCTGCCAAGTGCACGCTTTGCCCTAGGAACATGCTTTGTGTGGCTTCCTGGGGAGGCTTGTAGTTCTCTTCCTAATGAAAGACAAAACAATTCTCTTCTACCGTGTCAGAAATGTAGCAGGTAGCATCCTGCTTTAATCAGGCTCATTAAATTCACGGTATGTGGTTTCTTCCTGAATGTTCTAGGGTGCAAGTCTGTCTGGCCTCTACACTGATAGCAACTTGCCCTTGCTGGCGACTGCCTGAAAATGGTGATGTTTGGTAATGCCACTGACTCTGCAAACTGGGTGCTCAGGAGGGGGTTGTGGGGACTGATGCTGGTCTTGTCTGTGGTCATATATGGCTCTCATGCTCCCCTCCTGACTCAGTGCAAGGTGGATGGAGTGATCCCCTTCAGCTCCGCATCTGTCGTGGTTCTTGTCGAGCTGACAAAGCTGGTGCTCTCCCTCCTGTTCCTGCTTACCTGGGATCGGGATCTTCTGGGAGTCACCGTGTCGTGGCGCCATGTTGCCCCCTTTGCGCTCTCTGCCTTGCTCTACGCTGCCAACAACAACCTGGTGGTTCACATGCAGCTCTTCATGGATCCAAGCACCTACCAGGTCCTCAGTAACTTAAAGATCGTCAGCACCGCGCTCCTCTACAGCCTTTTTCTACGCCAAAGACTCGGTGTGCGCAGGTGGCTGGCTCTTTTCCTGCTGGTGGCTGCTGAGGTGAGCTACAGCTGTGGTGGCCTGCAAGACCCTGGCAGCCCCTCGAAGATGCAGCTGCATGTCACACCAGTGGGCTTGTTGCTGATCTCCGTGTACTGCCTGATTTCGGGCTTGTCTGCTGTCTACACAGAAGCCATTCTGAAAACCCAGGCGCTGCCTCTCAGCCTTCAGAACCTCTTCCTGTACTTCTTTGGGGTCCTGCTCAACTTGATTGGCTACTTCTGGAGCAGCACAGAGGATGGTTTCTTGGATGGCTTTTCCTCCTGGGTGCTGGTGATTGTTGTCAGCCAGGCCTTGAACGGTTTGATCATGTCTGTGGTCATGAAGCACAGCAATAACATCACCAGGCTCTTCGTGATCTCCTGCTCAATCCTGGTCAATGCCCTCCTGTCTGTCACTTTCTTCAATCTGCAGCTCACCCTCCTCTTCTTTGTTGCCGTCTTGTGCATTGGCCTTGCTGTTCACTTGTACTACAGGGTCACGTAGCTGCTGCCTTCCCGCCCTGCCCGTGCCAGGGCAGCCTTTTGCCGTTCCTCAGGGGTGCTGAGTGCTTGTGCTGGGGTTAGTATTAGAAGCGTGGTGGCACTTTGGCCATCAGTCACCCTGCACTGGTGTTTGTGCGAGTCTTTACTGGTGGGTGCACGCACAACATGCAAAGAGCCTCCACAGGAGGAGAGCTGAGGGGAAAAGCACCCCGTTCCTGTTTCCAGGATGGAAGCTGGGCCGTGCTCAGCCCAGCTGGACTCTGTGTTTCCTCATGGGGCAATCCTGAGGGTTGATCCTGAGCCCATCCTTCATGTGACAGCTCATCTCAAGCTGCTTCGCCCATCTTCCCTACCCCAGAATGCACTCATCTCTCATGCCTCTAAACGCTCCTGCAGCAGGTACCTTCGCTGCAGGCTCATGTGCGTGCGTCCGCGCTGTCGCTGCCAGGCCAGTGTTGGTCCAGCACCGCTTCAGCACCTCTGGATGATGCTTCCCTGTGCCAGCCATCTGCGCAAGCCGGCCTGGAGAGCCTCACGCTGTGTCCAGGGACGTCTCTCCTACCTCTTCGGTGCTCCCACCCACCCCTTACCCCAGTCTGTTTCACTTGCTCCCCAAAAAGGAGACCACACCTCAATTTGTACTGGTGCCGCAGCTGGAGAGTTCCTGGCAGGCAGAAATCACTGCTGGCTGTGGCGAGGGTTATTAAAGTTGTGGATTAACAGCACCCATCTGTCTGTCCTCCCTGCAGGAAGGCATCTGTTACCCTTGGCAGAGGTTTGGGGGCCAGAGGCATGTCCGAGGCTGATGACGCTCATCACTGAGAGCACCCCCTTTATTCCACCTGGCAGCA